TAAAACCCTTCCCGTTGCGTGCGAGAAAAAAAGTTTCCAATCTTTCCGTTTGGTGCTACACAAATCACAATGAAACAGATGCAAACTTATTTTTTATCAGAAAAAGGTCACCTCATCGCAGAAAAGACATCATATGAGATCGGCATAGATTAAGAATCGGTACATTGTCCCTTTCTTGATTGAACTATAAACATGCAAAAAATAAATGTATTGTTTACTGGCAGATAATAAAAGACTGAGTTGAAATCATCAATTCAATCATGTGGTTTCCTCCGTACGAACCGAATGTTTTTATCTGATTTTACTATGTTCCGTCTGTGGATGGAATAATCGCAAAGGTGCACGGGGTTTTGTCCCCGCAATATACCACCACACCTCAAGCCATCCGTTTGTTGTCACGATTCCTTTAAAGTTATTCAATCAACGGGAGCTTGATGGATTTAGCTTGATCGCTGACACACAGATTAAATTATGTTTCTACCCACTAGCTCTCTAACGGTGTTTTAATGCGGAATTCTTGCCGAAACCAAATGTGAAGATGAAGCACATCACATTCTGTACCTTGGTGCTTCTAGGCGGTCAGAATACGTTTCTCCTATGTTTCCGCAATGGTATGGGTCAGTCGGGAAGGATATCAACAGTATCTAGATGTTTGTGATGATGGACAAAGAGCACTACTGTACAACTGTTCCGTCCTGTTTGGGCTTCATCGGCATTTACACTGTTTTTTTGTGCGCATCGCTCAATCATTTTTTACAGTACATGTTTCTAAATAGCCATTAACATAAACTGTTTTTTAGAAATAAAACGATCGGCTCATAGAGGCATTCACCGTGTGAATGACAACAGTACTTAAGATGGTTGGGAAATAGCAGCTGAGCGTATTTGCGTGAACACATTTATGGAAAAGGTCTCTCGGGTTTCACAAAACGTTACACTTTATTTCAAAAGGGAAACACCAGCGTTTCTTCTCTGCGAGTATTCCATTAATCTGGTCACAAAACGTTTGTAGTCCTACTTACTGGACAAATTGATTCGGATGAAACCCCGCAGGTGACGGGCCACTTTCGATTCTTTCCCTGTACATATTCCTTACCGGCTGCATTGATTCGATCGGACAGAACGAGGCCTTGACTCTGCATTCATCATCCATGACTCTTCTCCTCCGCACACACACATACACTTGAGTGAGAATAGTAACATTCAGTAGTTTAAAACATAGCCTTCTTCCCGCTTGTCACTTTGGTCGTTTTGCTCTTTGTTGACACATATTTTAGTCACGGCTGTCGGGTTTGATTGATGTGACTGGTCCTGTTTTCGGTCCCCAACCGATTTTCTTTCACCCTTGCGTCAAAAGGCTCAGGGCAGAATATTGATTTGAAGTACACTAACCCATTATGATTGAAATAATCTTTCTATCTGAGTTCATCCCGATCAGGGAAAATAACAACAGTAAGTGAACACTAAGTCATATGCCGGTCCCTGTTAAATTTGAATCGTTTGCTTTATAGTTATGAGGTAAACAGTTTGCAAGTGTTGACTTGCCACACACACACACACCGCTTCGGGATAGCATCGGACTGAACTTGACTTCACCTCAGGGGTTATTTTGAAGGGATCAGCCAATTGTTCACATGAGAATCGTTAGACCTCATTATAAAAGTGCCCACTGTTGCTTCCTTTTATGGCAGCACATCTGTAGGCGGCAAGTGTATCTGGCGAACAGTGAGACTATCATCGACGCAGCAATGTGTACACCGGTGCATGTTTTAGTACTGAGAAACTCACAGATTCAGAGCCGGGTGGGTCGTCCAATGGATGCTTTCAGAAAATAGTGTGTTGCACTCGTATAACCGAAAGGTGATTCTAGCATTCAGACTCAGTTCACGTCGCATAACCGTACACNCCCCCCCCCCCCACCCTGTAAACGATTCGCATTCGATAGCCTCGACTGCAGGTACCCATGACTGCCACAAACATCTGTGCGTGCCCAGCAACACACCCGCCGAATTCCGAAATATTGACGGATACTGTTTTTCAGGTGATTCCAGTGACCTGTCAAAAAATTATATAACTGTTCGGAATATTTACATACGCTTACCCGGGGGAAATTTTTCACGTCTGTCAAGAAAAAGTATGATTTAGTTTTCACAAACGATCGAGTGCCGATTTGACTGAGCTATAGAATCCGATAGGCAAGCTTGCTATTTTTGGTGGTGGTGGTTGTGGTTGTCCGCAGAGTGGTGGGGTCGAGGGGAGGGCGAGATGACTAGCGGTAGAAATCAGTCGAGTAAACCGGATCAAGGTGGAATGGGTACTCGTCCCTCACGAGTACGCTTTCAAGAAGAAAAAGAACTGGATCAATAATTTCGCAGTCAAAATTCGACGGAATATATTGGTGCATTAATCGTGTGCACGGACTCTGTGTCATTCAACTCCTTGTTCATAGCATGTGGCCTAGCAGCATTCCTTTTATCACAATAACTTCACTAAATGTTGTTGGTAAATAATGAACATTAGCAACGCAGATAGTAATGTAATACATATGGTACTCAGCTCTTTACGACTCTGAAAGAACATTTTTCGAACAACCTAGTTTTATATAAAGCGCAATCCACACTTTCCCTGTGGTTTGCATTAGTATTGTTGTAATGATACTGACTAAGACTGGATGGCGATGTTACCGTTCATGGGTTCACAAACCCACTTTGTACGTATTTACCTTCATGTCATTCAAGAACTCTGAATGGACTACGATTCGTTCCTTGTTATGTATTTGACCTTTTAACAACAAATACAAATGCAACCAAATGATTTGCTATATTCTGTTAAGAACAATTGCAAGAATGTGGCACTCAACTAATGCTTCTCCCTACTTCACCCCCCACCACCACCACCACCAATCCTTCCCCCGTACACAACTCCTGGTCTGCCTCCTAACAACTCAACCGAGTCAAGTTGATCAAAATGGTGATCACGGTGGCTACCCTGTACGCTGTCTCACAACTTCCACGTCATGTGACCTATTTGGTGACCGTGAACAGTCCGAAAGCGTTCGAACGTGAAACCATGATGTACGTGTGGCTCGTCTGTCATTTTTGTACATGGTCTGCCACTTGTTACAATTTGTTTATCTACGCGTGGATGAATCGGGCATTTCGTCGTGGTCTGTACGATTTGATCTATCTAATTTTCTACTGGTTCTGTTGTTGCTGTTCGGCCTGTTTCTGTTGGTGCGGTAATTTGCGCGAATCCACTCTGGTAATGAATGGGAACGGGGCTGTGGGTTCCGAAGACGGACGCCGTCGATGGGACAGGAGAATACGACCATTAAGTTGGTCTCGTGGTCTACTCAGACGCGCCCAACGAAATCGGAAAAGTTCGGAGCCAAACCCAGCACCGGAAACAGTGATTGAGTTTGGAAATTTGAATCTGAACGGAGAAGACCGTCTCGAGTCGGGCACAGTGTCCGATGCTTACGGATCAGATGACAAAGAGGGAGAGTGAACAAACAGCCTGGTCCGCGGTCGGCGATTATGTCATCTGTGTCATCAACGGTCATTCTGCTACCAAATACCAAATGTTCGTTTACGGCGTTCCAATTGCTACCACCTGTGATACTCGTAAGTGAGAATGGTTCGATGGAAAAACAGAGAATGCAGATGATTTTGAAAAAAACGATTCACGGGTGTTTGTATACCTGTGGGATAATCGGAATGATCTCTAATCTCTCTCTGTGTGTGTTAGGATGTGTGTACATAGTGTGTCGTTAACCTGACGCGTCTGTCTATTCCAAATCCACTGTTGATTTTCTTCTGATTGTGTCCTGATTATGAGCACGTGAGCTTCTAATTTATGTGGAAAAAACTATAATTGTATATACGTATTCATACATAAATATAAAGCGCCAATACCCTCTATCCCGTCCTGCCTTTGGATGACACGCGATGCAATGAAGGGATTTTGTTTATATTACCAATACTTTGCACGAATCACTACTCAAAGTGTATCAAACCAAATGAAACCACTACGAAACTCACTATAATTGCTTCTTGTTAATCAGCTTTAAAAGCTCCCAATTCCATTTGACAAGTGTCTCAATTGCTTGCATATTGAGGTCAGCTATTTCCAAACAGTGTTAGGTATAGCCGGAAGTATCTAAATGATTGGACCGTNGACCGATTTCGCGATTATTAGCACCCGCTAGGTATGATCGTCCTATAATCATTTATCTGATCATTGGTATACTTGTACCTTGGAAACGTAATTTCTCAGATCTCTTGCTTGCAACACCGGGTAATGTAACTGACAACAGGTCAACGGATACAGATAGTAAGTTAGTCCTATGGCCAGATCAACTGAATCTCGAACAAATGCTTCCAATGTGTAGCAAGTTTCATACCTTTGGACCCAGCCGTGTTGCATTCTGTGTCGTGTACTCAGAGCGTGCAATATAGTAGCAGCAAACTGCAAGCACTCACGGATCACACACAAAACTGACAAAGATGTCCCTGTGCACGTGACTGACTAGTGCGCAAAATCACATTCCACAAGCGGTTAACATTACCGTTAATTGAAGGATTTATGGAACTGGCTGCAGAGATCAACGCAAAGATCCAATATGTGACTGATTTGATTCCGTACGTTGTGTTGGCGCTGATGTTATGTCAGTGGCATGAGGCAGTCCTTGTCTAATTCGTACAATATTCAGAGTTGGGCAGGATATTCGGGAGCAAACAGGTGAGTTCGATGTGGTTACAACAGTAGATTGGAACAGACTGGTAAAATGCTTCACCACAGATCGAGAGACGGGTAGGAAACCGTGACCTGGTTGTTTCAGAATAAACGTTTCGTTTTATGTATCCTGATTTACTCACTATTGATGTTAATCTGCACCATTATGTTAGGCACTGGCACTACGGCGACGATCACAAGGACAGATGGGGGAAAATGTTGTGATCTGGAAAGAGGAACTGCGAAGGAAGACCAATCAACCGTCGACCACAACAAAAACGCGCCAAATTCAGAAAAGCGCAAGGTATGAAACAAATGCTGGTCTAACAGTCGATCAAATGAGGGAAAAAGAAAACAGTGGAGTATGACCAGTAGAAGGGTCGAGGAAACTAATCAAAGAAATGGTACGCAGACTGGGATAACTGGCCTCTCCTGATTGAGGTTAGTGCCTTTATACGCTTAGTAAAGATACATTGATCACGATCTCCTAAAATGGAGAAACACAGCCCTTATATAAGTTTTCCCAAGTTTCACGATGGAATATGACAAGGTGAAAGTTTGTGAAGATTTCATTCTCGAATAATCAAATAATGTGAATATAGTTGTGTCTGATTAACAAAAACATTAAAGATTCCACCTCAGATGCGCATAAGAAGATGACAAACATATTGATCAAGTTCATGATCATGGGCAAGTGAATCTGGACAATGCATATGGCGATTGATCACTGTGAACACGGTACTGGTGGCGTATGTTTTCGTACACTGGTGATTCGTTTGCCCAGCGTAGCTAGTTGTTTATTTGTTTGGGAGCCATTGGATGCACACAATCCGATGACCTACAAAAGTGTACATGGTACATAATAGAGAAATTAAATTCTTGGTTCAAAGTTCTATCCCAATCAATAAAAGATTCAGACGGGAAAATGCATAATAATGTTTATGTTCATCGTACGTCGTCCATCTTTGATTAAACAAAAATGTCTCAGAAACCACTTTCATTTTAGGAAATTGAGCCGGAATAATTGTTTATGACGATCAAGTGGAAGTTGCTTGCATTCTGGTGTAATCATCTCGTTCCCCAAGAGGATGGTGGATTCAGACAGATTGGGAGTAATTTGGATGAACAGAAAAAGCACGAAATTGGGCTTCTGACTGTTCATATTGCTGGAGCCAGCAAACGTGTGGTTCTGAAACCCTGTCTACTCCCTCAGATGTCCAATATGATAAAATACATGCTGCCAGATAACAGCCCAGTCACGTCTGATCTCTGATCGTGCAGGAATAGATGCAAGTTTCTCTCTTTCTCACTAGACAGACCACAATCTAATCGAAAAACATGTGAGACTGTATGAGCGGAAGAACCTTATTAGTCCGAAGGAGACATTGAACAAAGAATATTAAACAGGATGACAAGATTATCTCCTGAAATTCATGGCTAGCATGACCCTGAGTGTTACTTTCTGGGCTTTTCGGGAGTAGAGGTACTAAGACGGACAAAGTTATAAGTTAAACGTGGTGTTTTTATACAGAACGGACGTTTCAGACAAAAACGTCGATGAATTGGACATCGCTTCGATGAGGAAATTTTTTTCCTTGTGTGTGCAAGTGATCATCACCCATCAAATGTTAACATTGTCAATCGCGACACAGTTACTTTTATCAACAAATTCCTACAGTTTTCATCGATCTATCTTTTTACTCTCTATATCCACGTTTCGGAAAAATGATAAAAATTGTTCCGATTTTTCCACAAACCTGACTACCAACCGTATAATGATATTCATTTTGGAAAACTTATTACGGGCTTCACAATTTGTTCAAAATACTTTTAACAGAGTGCATGGCTGACTTACGTAGAAATTCTGGTAAACTTCTACCTTGCTTTTAATCTAAAACAGAGATGAACAGTACTACAACCGTTGGGATGAAATGAATACAGTGATAGATCCATGACAACTTAATGAAAACATGTAACAACAAAAAAGACTTCACAATCACCAATTCTGCCGTAGGACTAGTATCAACGGAAATATTCATGACCAAACCAGAAAATCGGACTCTGAAATGAGGCAACGATTAGGTTTTAACGACACGTAGGCCAACATATGCAAAGGGAGGGACTTAAACGATATGTTCCAAGTTTTATATAAGGTGCATTAACGTACTGGTTTCAAATTCGAAAACAGAAGCAAACAACACGTTAGCCTATCTAGATTTGAAACTTTTCGAAACAAAAACGGGTTGTTATTAAGTGAAGTATACAGAACAACATACCTGCAGGGTACAAAAAATGAAAGTAAGCCGTTTTCTTCCGATTCAGATGAAACGGAAATTCAGTTCACAGTCTGATCTCAGGAGGCTGTAACTCTGAACTGACAGGTCTTTTTCGAAGAAATGATAAAAATTGTGTTCATCCCCAGAAGAAAGTCAGATATTTTGAGTGGTTAATCAAGAAAACTGGTAACGGTATATTACCGACCGACCCCATCTGTCAATCTGGTGAAGATACAATATCTGATCTCCCCAAGCCTAATTAATGCGAATTACATTGGTGGTAAGCTGAGGTAAACAATAACGGATAGGACAGGATCAGGATCAATACAACCCGTGAAAATTCAAAAGTTAAACAACGTGTCATGTTAAACAGTAAGTGTGGACAATCAAAATGAGAGTCCCTGAGCATGTATGTTTCAGGTGTTTGTGTGCAGCTCCAACGAAAGTGTTGAATCCGTCATGACTGATGAATATGATATTGTCCGCAGGGAAGTATATATAAAATTGCTATTCTTAACCATACGGTGGATATAGACAATTAAGTGACACGATAATTCGGTTGGGAGCACCCAATGCGTTACGCATTGGGTGCCCCCCTCTCCTTTCCCCTCCCCGGCAAATAACTTTAGGGCAGTACACCCTAAACACTCGCTAATCGCCACCGATCATCATCGGTAACTTGACAACCAATAAACTTACAATGGACTGGCGGAACTGAAACAAAAACGAAATGAAGAAATAGTTGAAAAATGTCAGAGGTGCATGGTAGCTTACAAGAACCTTCGACCTAAAAATAAAAAAGCAAGCAAGATTTTCGGCAAATCAGGGGTACACCCTTCATAGCGAAGATAAAGAAGTACCTCTGAATCTACATACTCAATAAAGTTTACGTATTTAGGAAGGTAAACCACACAATTCTGTATTCATTGTCCCAAGCATGAAAAATGGGTGTATGACCTAAGCAGCAAGCTGAACTGTTGAATCCGTTGGTTTGTGTGTATGCCTGACAAGCGGCAATAGCTGCCAAACCGGTCTTGTGCTTCCAGGAAAATCTTGTTCAGTCATTTATTTACCACCATTGGTAAACTATATGTTAAAAATCTATGAAACGCAAATTACTCCAGCTGAATTAGTTCCATGAAAGGTGATTCGTTTGAACGCGCTATTTTGTGACATCGAGTCAAACCAAACAGCTGAATGCTGTATTCATTAAGTTCTCCTCTGATGTCCCGTCAGATCAATCGACCTCAGGTATTCCCAACATCCCTTTCTCGTATGAACCGGTTTTGTTGGAGAGTGAAATGTGAAGACATTAGCATTCTCCCCTTCGATCGGTGTCGTTGTCATACTATTTTGCACAGGTATCCAACGTTTTACTGGAATTAGAAATTATCCATTGATCGTCGGTCCTCAGCAAGGAGCAGAACCAACCATGCAGGTCCCGATTTAAAACGTTTCAGACCAGCCCCTCTCACTTTTAACAGCTTTAAATCCATG